ACCAGTAAGTTGGAGTCGCACGCACATTTTGAATTTTCAAGCTAGCGCACGAACAGTGCATGAGGTTTTTTGGAGGGCGCCCAGGGCCCCAAAACGCTTGATTGGGGAGCCCACCGGGGACCGCAGAAAACGCCACTCCCCAACGCTTTGGTTTCACCATTTCGGTCGTTACGCACGGTACGAGTCGTTGGAGAACTGGCTTCTCGCAGAGTGCCCACGAGGCGGTCTGAGCGTCCAGCCGCGCTGCGCTCACACTCTGGAGTCCCAAGCCGCCCAAAGCGACAGGGTGCCAGAATTTCTCTTTCTGGCCCGCTGTGAGGTCGTGCGTTTGCACTAGCTCCTCCAGTGTGCTGAGGAGGTCGGCGTCGAGCTGGGTCGCTGTTTGGGCGGGAACCCCGGTGGTGCGCATGTGCCACGTCATGTCTCCTGCAGTGAGTGCTCGTAGTAGTACCGCAGACGTCTGAACGTCTAGGCCGGCTTTGTGAAAGTCCATGAGTCTGGCCATGGCATTCGTCCTCTTGGTTCGTTGGTGTCGTAGTCGCGGCGAGGCGGGTGAGTGCAGGCTGCCCTCCTCGGCGTGCTGGTCGGCGGTTACCGGCGTCGGTGACAGGTCGGAGTAGTCGTCGGCGTGTTGTCGTAAGATCGTGGGCTGCTCTACTCGCGGCGCGGGTAGGCCTGCTGGCATCGTGGCAGGATTCCTCGCCCACACCTCACACTTGTCGACGCGTGTCTGGAGGCCGGCCTGGCGCAGTGCGTCGGTGTAGGCAGCGTATATGGTGGGCAGGTCTTCAGGCTTCGCAAGGATGGTGGGGTCGTCGATGTGGCCGAAAAGCTCGTGCTGTATACCTGCTGCGTCGAGTCGGCGTTTGGCCCTCTCGAGGGCACGGTCGAGTCCGAGGCAGAAGAGCGTGGTGGCCATGCCGCACCCCTGGAAGATACCCGTCGTTCGGTTCCTGATGTGTCTTCTGCCCCCGGTGTCGTGGTAGACTACCTGCCCGGCGTCCGGTAGGAAGCCTCTTGCCCATCGGCTGAGTTTTGGGCAGTGAGCATCGATACCTTCGTTAATGTACACCCTGCTCAGGCTCCGAAAGGCGTCTGCAGCGTCCAGAGAGAGCACAGCGTAGTCCGGGCGGACGTGGAGCGCAGTGGACACGTGCTTGTGGACCAGTTCCGCCCCAGCCGTGTGCTTGTGCCCGAACTGCTTGCCGCGGAACCCCAGCGTGCAGTCGAAGCCCAGCTCGCTCCACGTCGCGGCCGTTGCTGCCGGCGCCATCCCGTAGGCTTGGTTCGTCCTGGCCAGTGTTTCGAGCTGCGCCCAGCCGTGGTGACTAGGAGCCCGAGGCGTCGGGTCATCGTCTAGCTGGCGGCACCGACAGCGGCTCCCGCAAGCGCAGCGGCCAGCAGGCAACTAGCGAGCAGGACGATCGCGAGAGCGTACTTCTTGCCAGACTTCTGCACGAGTCCGTACGCTGTGGAGGACCTGGCCAGGAGGCGTCGCCCGACCGTCAGTACGGCAAGCAGCAGGTCCACAGAGAGACTGGTGAGGACCGCGAGAGCGCACGTGAGATGGCCTGCGAGGCGCAGCGTTGTGAGGGGGACTGGCAGCTGCCAGGGCGGCTCCGGCTCACACCCTGCACTCCCCTTATGGCCGGCGGCATTCCAGGCCGAGAACGCCCAGAACAGCAAGGCCGCCAGCACCTGCGACCGCCCGCGGGCGTGCCAGAAGAGGCCCAACGCCCTCTCGGGGACGGTGCAGCAAGTTCCCCTGGTCCCACCAGTGATTGTGCTGCTGAACGTGGCGCTGCTGGTGTCCGTCATGCTGGTCGATGTGGTGCCGCCAGTTGCAATGGTGCTGTGAAGCATGATGCTGCTGGTATTGGTCGTGCTCGTAATACTTATCGTCGTGCTGGGCGCAGTGGTGATGTTGGTACCAGCCGCACTCTGAACACTCGCGTTGCTGCTCTCACCGCTGTTGCTCGACACGACGCGCTGTGCGTAGTGATGTTGCTGGTACTGGTCTCGCTCGGAGCACTCATGGTTATGCTCGTACCCGTGCTGCTCGCCGACGTGCTGAGCGTAGTGGTGCTAGCGGTGCTGCCGGTGCCGGTCGTGCTCGTCACACTCGTGGTTCTGCTCTCGGTCGTACCGCTGAACCGTGCTGGGCGTAGAGGTGCTGCTGAAGTCGGTCATGCTCGTCACACTCGCGGTGCTGCTCTCGGTCGTACTGCTCACCGATGTGCTGGGAGTACCCGTGCTGGTACCAGTCGTGCCCTTTACACTCGTGGTGATGCTCTCGGTCGTACTGCTCGCCGACGTGTTGGGCGTAGTGGTGCTGCTAGTATCCGTCGAGCTGGTCATACTCCTGGTGCTGCTCTCGCTTGTACTGGTCGCGAACGTGCTGGGCGTAGTGGTGCTGCTGGTACGTGTCGTGCTCGTCACCCTCGTGGTGCTGTTTTCGGTCGTACTGCTCGCCGACGTGCTCGGCGTAGTGGTGCTGCTGGTGCCCGTCGTGCTCGTCACCCTCGCGGTGCTGCTCTCAGTCGTACTGCTGACCGACGCGCTGGGCGTAGTTGCCCTGCTGATCTCGGTCGTGCTCGTCACTCTCGTGGAGATGCTCTCGGTCGTACTGCTCGCCGACGTGCTGGGCGTAGTGGTGCTGCTGGTATTGGTAGTGCTCGTCACCCTCGTGGTGCTGCTCTCGGTCGTACTGCTCGCCGACGTGCTGTGCGTAGTGGTGGTGTTTGTACCGGTCGTGCTCGTCACCCTCGTGGTGTTGCTTTCGGTCGTACTGCTCACCGATGTGTTGGGCGTAGTGGCGCTGCTGGTACGGGTCATGCTCGTCACACTCGTGGTGCTGCTCTCAGTCGTACTGCTCGCCGACTTGCTGGGCGTAGTGGTGGTGCTGCTGGTACCGGTCGTGCTTGTCCCAGCCGTGGTGATGTTCTCGGTCGTACTGCTCGCCGACGTGTCGGGCGTGGTGGTGCTGCTGGTCTCGGTCGTGCTCGTGACCCTCGTAGTGCTGCTCTCGGTCGCACTGCTCGCCGACTTGCTGTGCGTAGTGATGCTGCTGGTCTCGGCCGTGCTCGTCACCCTCGTGGTGCTGCTCTCGGTCGTACTGCTCGCCGGCGTGCTGGGCGTAGTGGTGCCCGTCGTACTCGTGACCCTCGTGGTGCTGCTCTCGGTCGTACTGTTCGCCGACGTGCTGGGCGTAGTGGTGTTGAAAGTACTGGTCGGGCTCGTCATCCTTGTGGTGCTGCTCTGAGTCGTACTGCTCGCCGACGTGCCGGGCGTAGCGGTGCTGCTGGTCTCGGTCGTGCTCGTCACCCTCGTGGCGCTTCTCTCGGTCGCACTGCTCGCCGACGTGCTGGGTGTAGTGGAGCTGCTGGTTTCGGTCGTGCTCGTCACCCTCGTGGTGCTGCTCTCGGTCGTACCGCTGACCGACGCGCTGGGCGTAGTGGCTCTGCTGATCTCGGTCGTACTTGTGACCCTCGTGGTGCTGCTCTCGGTCGGACTGCTCGCCGACGTGCTGGGCGTAGTGGTGCTGAAAGTACTGGTCGTGCTCGTCACACTCGTGGTGCTGCTCTCGGTCGTACTGTTCGCCGACGTGCTGGGCGTGGCGGTGCTGCTGGTCTCCGTCGTGCTCGTAATACTCGTGGTGCTGCTCTCAGCCATACTGCTCGCCGGCGTGCTGGGCGTAGTGGTGCTGCTGGTGCCCGTCGTGCTCGTCACCCTCGTAGTGCTGCTCTCAGTCGTGCTGCTGACCGACGCGCTGGGCGTAGTGGCTCTGCTGATCTCGGTCGTGCTCGTCACTCTCGTGGAACTGCTCTCGGTCGTACTGCTCGCCGACGTGCTGGGCGTAGTGGCGCTGCTGGTCTCGGTCGTGCTCGTCACCCTCGTGGTGCTGCTCTCGGTCGTACTGTTCGCCGACGTGCTGGGCGTAGTGGTGCTGCTGGTCTCGGTCGTGCTCGTCACCCTCGTGGTGCTGCTCCCGGTCATACTGCTCGCCGACGTGCTGGGCGTAATGGTGTTGCTGGTCTCGATCGTGCTCGTCACCCTTGTGGAGCTGCTCTCGGTCGTACTGCTCGCTGGCGTGCTGGGCGTAGTGGTGTTGCTGGTCTCGGTCGTGCTCGTTACCCTCCTCCTCCTCCTCCTCCTCCTCCTCCTCCTCCTCCTCTTCCTCCTCCTCCTCCTCGTCCTCCTCCTCCTTCTCCTTCTCTTCCCCTCTGCGGATTGGTTTTGTTAAACACAGGATTCTTGGGAAACGGATTTTCGCTGTGTTGTTCAAAATGCTGCTTTCGCTGATGCGCTGGCTTCATTTTCGGGCTAAATCGTGCTCTTGCTGCAACGCTGGCCTCATTTCCTCGCTTCCGCTCGTTCCGAGTCGTGCTCCCGCTGCAGCGTTGGCGTAATCAATTCCAGCGCCATGCCACGGCATGGTTTTCGGTCCTTCCACATAGGCCCCAAAATCTAGGAAATGCCCCCCCGAACAAAAAAACATCGGAAGTGATTACACATTCGTTGTCGATTCGTTGATTTTTGAGGTCCCCCTTTGGGGCGTCATTTTGCCATACTATGTCAGGTTACGCGTCCTCCGAATCGTGCTCCCGCTGAAGCGCTGGCCTCATTTCCGCGCTTCCGCTGGTTCCGAATCGTGCTCCCGTTGCAGCGTTGGCGTCATTCTGCTCAGCGCCATGCCACGGCATGGTTTTCGGTCCTTCCAAATAGGCCCCAAAATCTATAAAAACCACTCCGAAAAAACCATCGGAAGTGCTTACACATTCGGTCCCGGTTCGTTGATTGTTTGGGCCGCAGAAGCCCCCCACCCCTTCGTCGGGCCCCGGGGACTTCAAAAAACGATCCCGCTGGAAAATCCGTAGCCATTTTAGCTAAAGCCATAGCCATTTTGGCTCAAGCCATCTGGAATCAGGTCTTTTCGGCTTCATTAGCTCGTCGCAGTTCTCAGCCGAAGCTCGCTCGGCCCGGCTGGCCCAGCGGCGGCGATGGCTTTGATGATTCCGCGCGCGGGCGCGCTGGAGCAAGAGGGCCTTCAGCCCCCTGCAATGAGCCACCTAGTGTCGGCTCGCGGCCCAGCGCACATGGTGCTCGACGCAGGGGCCCGCGCTTATCAGCCTTTGGGCGTCCAGGGGGGCCTCATCGGCGAAGCAGTGCCGCCGCAGCCGCCAGACATCAAGAGGAGAGATGAGCTGGACCCAGACTGGGACAACCACGTGCACGCTTTCAAGAGGCAGTATCTGTACATCGCCATTGCCTATGCGACCCCCTGCTTCTGCATCTTCATGTACTCGGTCTTCAAGTCGATCCTGTACAGGGGCTGGTGGAACACGTCGGCTGGGGAGCCCTACATGCCGCACTCGATGAACGAGCAGAACCCGTACCGCGCATACATCGGGATCCCGTCCGTCTTGGAGATGCACATGTGGTTCGCCTGTATGATGCTGGCCGCGATCTGCGTTCAGCTTGGCTCCATGTGGATGGCTGTGCACACTGGCATTGACGCCTACGGCAAGTTCCACGCCATGTTCGGTAAGGTCACGATGTTCGTCATCATCCTGGCCGCAGGGCTGGGCACCATCGGGCTGGGCGTCTGTGACGTCCAGCCGAAGCGCGGTGCGGAGAATCTGTTCTTCGTGGGCATAGGTGTCGGTATCCTCGTCTGCCTCTTCCGTGGGGTGTACGTCGCAAGCCGTGGTTTTTATGGGCTCCACTTCCAGTACATGGCGGCCGCCGTGGTGTTGATATTTTCGCCTGGATGGAACCGAATCATCGCCGTGATTCTCCGCAATTACGTATGGCTGTGGAGGCATATCGACCAGGAATGTTTCATCATCAACTCCTGGGGCCAACGTGGCTTTCTGTATTTCTGGTCATTTCTGGCTGGGATGAGCTTCGAGTTCTTCTGGTGGCTCGGCGTTTTCAGGGCCCCGTTCTTCAAGGCGAACTCCATCGGCTTCGCAGTTCACGTCGTCCTGGCGGCCATACTCTTCGCGTGCGCCTGGCAGACGTTTTACGCCTCTGCCGTTCACGGGGAGCCGCTTACGACCCAGCAGTGCACGGCAGAGGACTACCAGGACTGGAAGAACTTCACCAGCGGCGTCCGCACACAGGGCTTGTACTCGCTATCCAGGGGCTATGGCGTTTGCTCGGCAAACCTGTGGCAGTCTCCCCCTGGAACATTTGTCCACTATGGTGGCGGAGAATATTCCGTGTTTCGCCTCATGAATCACCCACAAGACCCTGTGGTAGATGTTGGGTACAATTGAATGTGTATACGTAGACACACCTGTACAGATTATAGAAATGTAGGAAAGGGAAGATGTATGTATATTGCGAAGGCCTAACGGCCGGTGCCGCCGACCCTGAAGACGACGAAGATGAAAACGAGCGGGGGGGGGAGGAGGTGGAGGAGGAGGAGGAGGAGGAGGAGGAGGAGGAGGAGGAGGAGGAGGAGTGGTGGGGGGAAGAGGAAGGGTGGAGAAGGCGGGTGAGGGAGGAGGAGGGGGGGAAGGATGAGGAGGAGGAGCAGGAGAGGGAGGAGGATGAGGAGGAGTAAGGAGGAGGAGGAGGAGGAGGAGGAGGAAGAGGAGGAGGAGGAGGAGGAGGAGGAGGAGCAGCGTGAGGAAGCGAGTAGGAGCAACCAGATTCACTTATTTGTTTGATTCGGCAGCGCCTTCGTCCAAACAAAGTGGGCGATGGAACTTGGTTAATTTGAGTCCTGCCCAGCGCCTGCATTGCCAGCAGCGTCGCTTGCGGGACCACGCAGGGCGTTTCGGGCGATTGTCGTTGTAGCGATCTCAATTCCCATGTTGGCGGTCAGTGGCGTCAAAGTTCACGCTTTTTTCTTCGACAAGGAAATTGCCAGGCCTCTAAACGAAGAGGCGAGTCTTCCAACGCTTTTTTGCCGTCATTCATTCATTTTGAACGCACGCTGGTACCAACGTCGCGTGTGCAGCAGCAGGTTGAGCGGAGTCGTCTTCGGCAGCCCTTGGTGCAATCACTGCAGCGGCCCTTTGATGCCTGTTCTGCATGTTACGCGGTGCCAGTCTGGGCAGATGGTCTGGACCCCCCCCAAAAAACGACCCCGCTGGAAAGCGCCGATCCGACTGGACCCCGTGAGGGGTCCACAGGCCCAGTGGGAACCGATTGCTCAGGGAAGCCAGACCATCGAGCCTGGCAGCCCGCCGTACTCTTCCCTGGCATCCGTCCTCGCCCGCCTCAGCTTCCCCCGCCGCCGCCGCCGTTGTCGTCTGCGTCGTTGTCGCCGTCGGCAATTTCTGCGCGTGTCCTGGAGCTTCCGGAAGTCTTCGGACCATCCGCCACGCCTCGTGCAGAGTTGTCCACCATGCTGTGTCAGGCTACGCGTTGATCTTCAACACCATGCTATGCCATGTAATGCTATGCCCTGCTACGACATCCGACTGTGCGAATAGAGAGGAGATCTACCCCATGGTAAGGGATGGGAGGGGGGGGGAAGGACGTCAGATATGGCGCGAGCGCACCCAGCTTGTCTCCTCCCCCTCCCTTCCCTCCCCTCTCTCCTCCCCCTCCCCCCCAGCGGCGTCGGCCGCCTCCCACCCAGTGCGCCAAGCCCCGCGCCCCCCCAGGGCGAGGGAGGAAGCCTCCGCCGCCGTCGAAGCGGTGGGCGGCGGCGAGGCGGAGGCGGCCGGATCCGCGGGCCGCCGCTGGCCGCCGCTGGCCGCCGCCGCGGGTCGCCGCGTGTCGTGGTCGTCGTCGTCGTCGTCGTCGTCGTCGTCGTCGTCGTCGTCGTCGTCGTCGTCGTCGTCGTCGTCGTCGTCGTCGTCGTCGTGGTCGTCGTCGTCGTCGGCGGCGGCGGCGGCGGCGGAGGCAGAGGCAGAGGCAGAGGCAGAGGCAGAGGCAGAGGCGGCGGCGTCGTCGCCGCGTCGTGAAAAAAAAAACGCGTCGGGTCCCTGGCGTTTCGGTCGGTCCTCGGCGGATGTCCAGCTTCGGGACGCCTTCCAGCAACTGCGCCTCGCCGTGGGCGTTCTGGGGGTGCCACAGTCGTCCCGAACGACCGCTGAAGAGCTGGACTACGGCCCGAAAACCTCGCCCCCTCGCGTCGTGGAAACATCACGGCGGGGTTTTGTGGCCGTTGTTGGCCGCCAGGCCCCAGGGCCCCAGAGGGCCGTCAGCAGAAAACGACCCAGATGAAAAATTGGTTCTGGGGGCACGGTCGGGGATTCAGGCGTCGTCGCTGCCGCCGTCGTCATCGTCGGCGTCGTCCAGGTCGTCGTCCGAGGCCGAGTCAGCGTCAGATCCGTCGACGTCGCCGTCAGCGCCGTTAGAGTCGTGAGAGTCGTCGTCGGCGTCATCGACGACGCCGACGCCGACGCCAACGCCGACGCCGACGACGACGACGACGACGACGACGACGACGACGACGACGACGACGACGACGGCGGCGGCCGCGGCGGCGGCGACGACGCTGACGCTCGAGAGCCTACTGGGCTCTGTTGGGGGGCCTCTTGGGAGACTTTTGGGGAACCGCCGTGGCCACTTGGAGGGGCCTTGGAGCGGATCTGAGGGCTCTTGGCGGCAGATGGCAAAACAAGCAGCACCCTGCAACAGCCGATAAGCGTGAAGAGGGTGCTTCCTGGGGGGGGGGATCCTGGAGGAGGGGGGAGGCCGGGGGGAGGGGTCGTGAGGAGTTCTCCTTGTCGACAGGGGTGCCTCCTTGCCCACAGGGGAGAGGCGGGGGGGGGTCTCCTTGTCCACAGGGGGGAGGCCGGGGGAGGGGTCTTGAGCTCCCCCTGTGCACGGGGGGACCGCCCCAGCGCCCCCCCCTGTCCACGGGGGACCGCCCGGGGGGGAGGCCACGACCTCCGGGACCCCTCCCCCCCCGGGACCCCCCCCGGGCAGGACCCCCCCCCCCCCCGCCGGGGACCCCTTCCCCGGGACCTCCCCTTCCCCATCGCCAGGGAGGGGATCAAAGGAAAGGGGCTTCTGGTCGGATCTGCGACAGCGTTGTGTGATCTCCGTCGGGCTGCAGCGAGCGAGGAGGAGGAGGAGGAGGTCCCAGGCCCAGAGAAAGGGGGGAAGCGACGACGACGACGACGACGAAGACGACAGCGACGGCGACGGCGACTCATGCGAAAAAAAACGCGTCACCGCACGCCGACGGGGTCGGCGGCTCCTCTCGGGGCCCTCTCAAGGCGTCGTGGCCTTGCGGGCCGTCTTGGGGCCATCTCGGGTGTTCTTGAGGCCGCTGGGGCGCGTTGGCGCCCTGCTTGGGCCGTCTTGGAAGGCATCCGGGGGGCATCCTCGAGGCCACGGGCTGGAGGAAGTCGAGGCTCCGAGGGCCCCGGAGGAGCGTTGGAGAGTTTGTGCGGAGACCCCCCCCACCATACGCGGACTGCCCCCCTCCTCTTGAACGAGATGTTGGACTTTGGGGGGGCGAAGGGGGGAGGGGGGAGGGCCAAATGTTTTAGAATCCCGCTCATCCCCAGCAAGCGGGGGTCGCCGTGAAGGTCGAAACTTCCATGCCATGCTGGATAATAGCAGCCTTGTTTTCTTATGTTTATATACATGCCGTCGTTGAGCCCGCAGAGCGGGAGTCGCGGCGGACCCCCAGGGGAAAGTTTGCACGCAGATTTTACGATCATTAGGTGTAAGGGAAACTGCTTCGACCAGGGTCGGCACCAATCGTCGCAATGTTTCGTGGTATCATGTTGGGGGGAGAAGAAGATGGTGACTGTGGAGTACCCGAGCTCTGGAGCATCTCCACTCGAGAAAGAAATCAAGCTCCAGCATCACGAACCTCCTGAGGAAGTTCGTGGTCAAGAGGATGTAGCCTTTCAGCCATGTCGGTGCCCAGGACAACCAACGCCATCTCAACGGCGGCAGTCAGCTTGGTCGCACGCTCAGTGGGGCTCTGGGAGTCGGACTAGCAGACCCACCCCGACTTGCTGAGAACCCTCGGCGCCGCAGACCACCAATGAAGGGGTAATCCGTATCTTCTGGCAATACCAGCTCGTGAGAAATGATATGTTGGGCACTCGGCCCAGTGGTGGCGAAACGAGGGAGGCGCTGCCCCACACTGGCGGCAGGCCTTCCCCGAGCAGCGACGCGTCTCAGAGGATACACAGCTCCAGCACGAAAGATCCGCACGAGCGTGCGATCATCCTCTCACAGACGCTTGAATGCCCATGGGGAAATCACTGATTCCTTACGCGTCCCAGGAGCCTGAGAGAGCAGATCACTCGTATTATCCCGCGTCCCAGCGATATGTGGGGCAGGCATGAGGGGCCTCGAAGCGCAGATCATTCGTATTTTCTCATGTGACAGGAAATGCGTGAGGGGTATGCCGACTCGACGCGTTCGTGGCCCTGGGGGCACAAAATCACTAGCATGTGCACGTGCTCCAAGGTAGTATGGGGCAGGAAATGTGTCAGGGGTGTGCCGAATCGAGGCTTTCGTAGCCGCGGGGGCGTAGATTACCTGTACTTGCACGTGCCCCTGGAGCTGTCGCGCACATGCGCCTAGCCCTGGGAGCGCATGCCACTTGTGTTTTCACGTGCCCCAGGAGAATACCTAGAAATTGCCCTCACCGGAACATCTTCGAAGCATCATCGGCCAGCGCAATCCGCGAGGCCCCTCCTTATATGCCTCACGCATGCTTCTCTCCATCTCATTAGCTTGTCTCGGCGCCTTGCACGGCGAGGGCCCGCAGGGTGTCCGCCGAATTCAATCGTTTCGCCCAGGGCGAGCCGATTGAAAGGCTTTCCGCTGGCCAAGACTGGATGTAGCTTTGGTGGCCTTCGGCCAGACTCGGTCATGGACAAGAGGCGCATTTGGGGGCTGCTTGGGGAGGCCTCTCGGGGGATTCGTGGCGGCATTTGGGGGCTGCTTGGGGGCCTCCCGGGGCCTCTCGCGGATGCCTCGGGCCTTGGGGGCCTCTCGGGGCTTCTTGGGGGCTCCTTGGGGGCTGAATGGCGGTCCCGGGGGCCACCTCCCCTCCCGCCCGTCCAGCCCCCTCCGATGTGGTGACGTTAACCTGGCCGGTCACTGTCGCGCGCTGTTCCGTTATTCCAAGTGGATTGCTTCAGTGTTGTAGTCGGATGGTGTCAGCGACGCAGTGGCGCTGCGGGAGCATCGGAGCTGACATAGTCAGGGAGATGCTCCCCATTAGGATTCCACCTGACGTGGAGCGTACACGCTCTCATTCGTACGTGTCCGCCCGCCCCCGAAGGTGGCGGCGAAGAGGGCGGCGGAGGCGGCGAGGCGGAGCCGCGAGGCGCCGCGGTGC